CTCCCCCACGCTCTGCACCCGGCCCCCTCTGCCCGGCTCCCTCCGCCCCACTCTCTGCACCCGGCTCCCTCTGCCCCACTCTCTGCACACGGCTCCCTCTGCCCGGCTCCCTCCAGCTCCCTCTGCCCCACTCTCTGCACCCGGCACCCTCCCCCTGGCTCCCTCCAGCTCCCTCTGCCCGGCTCCCTCTGCCCCACTCTCTGCCCCCGGCTCCCTCCGGCTCCCTCTGCCCGGCTCCCTCTGCCCCACTCTCTGCACCCGGCTCCCTCTGCCCGGCTCCCTCTGCCCCACTCTCTGCACCCGGCTCCCTCTGCCCGGCTCCCTCTGCCCCACTCTCTGCACCCGGCTCCCTCTGCCCGGCTCCCTCTGCCCCACTCTCTGCACCCGGCTCCCTCTGCCCGGCTCCCTCTGCCCCACTCTCTGCACCCGGCTCCCTCTGCCCGGCTCCCTCTGCCCCACTCTCTGCACCCGGCTCCCTCTGCCCGGCTCCCTCTGCCCCACTCTCTGCACCCGGCACCCTCCCCCTGGCTCCCTCCAGCTCCCTCTGCCCGGCTCCCTCTGCCCCACTCTCTGCCCCCGGCTCCCTCCGGCTCCCTCTGCCCGGCTCCCTCTGCCCCACTCTCTGCACCCGGCTCCCTCTGCCCGGCTCCCTCTGCCCCACTCTCTGCACCCGGCTCCCTCTGCCCGGCTCCCTCTGCCCCACTCTCTGCACCCGGCTCCCTCTGCCCGGCTCCCTCTGCCCCACTCTCTGCACCCGGCTCCCTCTGCCCGGCTCCCTCTGCCCCACTCTCTGCACCCGGCTCCCTCTGCCCGGCTCCCTCTGCCCCACTCTCTGCACCCGGCTCCCTCTGCCCGGCTCCCTCTGCCCCACTCTCTGCACCCGGCACCCTCCCCCTGGCTCCCTCCAGCTCCCTCTGCCCGGCTCCCTCTGCCCCACTCTCTGCCCCCGGCTCCCTCCGGCTCCCTCTGCCCGGCTCCCTCTGCCCCACTCTCTGCACCCGGCACCCTCTGGCTCCCTCTACCTGGCTCCCTCTGCCCCACTCTCTGCACCCGGCTCCCTCTGCCTGGCTCCCTCTGCCCCACTCTCTGCACCCGGCTTCCTCCACCTGGCTCACTTTCCCTTCAGCTCCCTCCACCTGGCTACCTCTAGTTCCCTCCACTCGGCTCCCTGGGCCTGGCTCCCTCCGGCTCTCTGCACCCAGCTCTCTGCGTCCGGCTCCTGCCACTGGGCTCCCACCGCCCGGCTCTCTGACTGAAGAGCCAGCATGCCCCTCTCTTCCGGTGCCGACTGCTCAGCGAAATGTAGCCCCCGAAGGATGGCGTCTAGCCCCCTGGAGAGACAGCGGGCAGCGCTTTAGAAGGGACCCACACCCGCCCGACGCGCTCACCCACTGGATCTCCTCGCGGAAGGGGAAGCCGTTGTAATCACACAGAGCCGCATACGTCTCCGAGAAGCCACCTGCAAACACGGACGGGGCCTTAGCAGCAGCCCGTGGAGGAGACCAAGGGACACGTGGGCAGGGAGAGAAACGAAGGCGTCTGGGATCCAGAAAAGAGGGAGGCCCAGCTGAAAAGCCCATTGAACCCTCACTGCTCCCGGCCCAAAGCGGAACTCGGGGTGGGGCCTCTCGGCTTGGCTCTGCCCCATTCATTCCTTGCTTGGCCTGAGTCCTTCTGCCCCGACTTCCCTAGCTCTTCCTGTCTAGCTAGACATGCCGGAGCGGAATCAGTCCTGCCCCTGCATGGCCCAGTCGTGCCACTGACATCGGTGGGATGGCACAGGACTTGTGGAAGTGTTTGCCGGACTGGTGCTGACATCATGTGACTCTTCCCTCCCACACTGCGCCCTGCCATCGCCTTATCCCCGTTTCACAGGGAGGGAAACTGAGGCCCAGGGCGATGGCAGGTGGGGGGCGGAGCCAGGGTTAGCCCCCCCCCCTCTTCTTCCTGAACTGCAAAGCGGGGGCTTCCAAAGCACTTTGCCTTGGAGTCAACAGAGCTTTGAAAATTCCACCCCAAGCCCCCAAAGCCCCTCCCTTTTCTTTGGGGTAGTTTGGGCTTTCTGGGACAGGGGCCCAGAGCCAGGCTGGATACCGCAGGGCCCTTGGCTTCTCCGCAGCACGTCCTCCAACGCGTCCGTTCTCCTTCGCAGTCTCTCAAGCAGGCCGGGCGGACAGGTTCTGAGCAGTTTCCTGGGAAAACGCCAGAGAGGAAAAAAACCCCCCAGCCCTGCCTGTAGGTGAAGATTGACCAGCCAGGAACACTTCTGGCCAACTGCCTGTGCGGCCCTCGTGCCCTTTGTAGGGTCTTTCTGCTCACACCCACCTCTCAGCCGGCACGTTCCCACCAGCAGAGCGCAAAGCCGTGTCCTTCGCTCCGTTTTACAGGTGGGGACACTGAGGCACTGCATGAGGACGTGAGTTGCCCGAGGTCATCCCACGGGCCTGTGGCAGAGCCCAGAAGAGAACCCAGCCCACAGCTCTGCCCACTAACCCACACTGCCTCTACACTAAAGGGCCCCATGTTTGAAGCCTGTACCAGCCAAATGGCCAGAGCATGAGGTCGGGGGCCTCTAGGGGGTCGCATCAGAGCCCCCCCAGTGCCGCCACGCCAACGTTTCAGGAATAGCCCTACCTGGGGGAAGAGTCAGGAAAGACCTTCTTGAGTGACATGGTGACGTGGATGACCACCTGCTCCAAGTCATCCAGCCACGTTTCTACGGCAACCTGCAGAGAGGACACGTGGGCTTTCGAGGCAGCAAGCAGAGGGGAGTTTCCTTAAGCTCCAGCTGAGCAAAGCCGCGTGCCGAGACGGGCAGCTCTCGCCGTTGCACTATGACGCCTCCTGCTCAGGCCAGACTACGCCACCACGGAGCGAAGGCTCCGAAAACACGCCAGCAGTTTGGCATAGACCATGCCACAGGTACTGAATGTGGTCCAAAGCGCAAGCATTACGAACCCAAAATCCCACGTTAAGGTTAAACTGAAAAGAAATGCAAACCCGGCAAGGAGTGGACGTGCAATTGTGGTTCCCGAACAGCCTTAACTCTGCCCTGCAGTAACACCTTGCAATGCTTTGGGGTCCCAGATTAAAGCACGTCTGACTCGGTTTCCCCTCTCCTGGTGTCACTCCACACAGGCCGTGTTACTCTGTTCCCATGAATATTAGAGGTTAAGTAAAAAGATCACGTACAGGGTGTCTCATTCATGAAGGGACCCACTTTTAGACTCAGTTTGCTCTCCTGAGCGAATGAACGGGTTCACTACGTTCTGAGGAAAATTCACTCGGGCTCAGTGAGCCAGGGCCATGACGCTGACAAAGACTTTTCTCACCGAGCAAACTGGTCGAATCCCGACTTCCCGTGGCGAGTTAAACTCAGCCCGAATGGTGGGATTGCAAGGCGGGCCTCGGGCCTCCATTAGAACCCAGCAAACTAAACTAGTGGCCACATCATGCTGGCTCCCCTCCGGAGCAGCCCCAAAGGAGAACTGTCTGGAAAATGCAGCCCCAGGCAGCCCGGAGCAAATCCCCAACCGTCTTCGCATGGCTAATGTGAAACCAGAGAAATCCCATTGCATTCCACTGGGACAGCACCAGTGTCATGGGCCCGGCGAGCGGCATGGGCCAGACACGCTTCCCGCAGGCCACTCAAACATCTGGGCTTCCAGAGCAAGGAGGGACGCAGGAGGCGGCTTTCTCTTTTTAATGGAGCTCACCTCCCTCCTGCAGCTGGGGGACCTCCAGGGGTCATTGAGTCCAGCCCCTGCCCGCACACAGGACCCAGCACCATGCCCCAGGCCCCTGTATGGCCCCCTCAAGGATTGAACTCACACCCCTAGGTCTAGCAGGCCACGGCTCAAACCACTGTGCTACCCCTCCCCCTGCAGGGGGTGCGTGCTTGCGCTGGCCGATGCTGGTCTCTAGGCGGGCTCGCCGGGCGCCAGGCCAGCGCAGGGGTGACGGCCCCGGGAAACCAGACGCAATTTGCCCAGGACGTTTCTCGCACTCTGCAGGGACCATTCGATCGGCCAGTCCGAGTCCGAGTCCGAGTCCGAGCCCTCGCACGGCCCCGGCCACCACACGCCGCCCGCCCGCCGCTGCTC